AAATATTAAAAAACTAAAAAGAATGTATATACATGTATAACTGAATCACTTTGCTGTACACCAGAAACTATCAACACATTGTAAGTCAACTATACCTCAATAAAATAAATTTAAAAAAAGAAGACATTACAGGGCCCTGCTGCATTGCTTTTTGAGTTCTTAAAAATACTTTTAGTAATGTCTCTCCCTGCTGTCAGGCCGTTGATACTCCCTGCTGTTATTCTATCTGTAGTGAACTTTTTTCCTTCTTCAAATATACTGCTTCTAACCTGTTGTATCAAGGAAACCATAGTTCTAAAATTATTAGAAGTCTATGTAAAATAAGATTTAAAGGGCTTCCCTGGTGGCGCAGTGGTTGAGAGTCCGCCTGCCGATGCAGGGGACACGGGTTCGTGCCTCGGTCCGGGAAGATCCCACATGCCGCGGAGCGGCTGGGCCCGTGAGCCATGGCCGCTGAGCCTGTGCGTCCGGAGCCTGTGCTCCGCAATGGGAGAGGCCACAACAGTGAGAGGCCCGCGTACCACACACACACACACACACACACACACACACACACACACACAATAAGATTTAAAAAATTAGGCAAAATAAATGGGTTCTGAGTGAGTGCTCCTGTGAACAAAGTATCTGAACCTTTGCTTTAGATGCCCCTTCTGGGCCCACGGGGCCACTGCACACACCTCTGTCACCCGGGCTGTCATCACTGTCAGGTCTTCCAAGGATGGGCACCACAATTTCCTCATCTTTGAATCTGCAGCACCTGGTATGTAGTAGTAACTCAATAAATGTTTGTTGAACCAGCCAGTGGACTTGTGGTGGCATCCGCTTTGGCAGCTAAAATGCCTTGCTCTGTCTGCTTGGTTTTCTGCCTTCCTGGTTTGGGAAATCATGCCTTACAGGCAACCGAGGTTGCTGATAACAGGACCCCAGAGAAACGAGGGGAAATTGTTTCTGGTTGGAACTCCCCATAGTCTAATGGGGGAGGTACTTGGAAGAAGCTGCCTGGGTTCTCCTGGTTTTGATACTGTCACCCCTCATTCAGGGTTGCACTTGGAATGTCTGCACAGGAGCCCAGGACAGGAAGGGTGGGGCCCTGATTCTTAACGGCCTCCCTCAGCTCCCTTGTACTCGGTTTGTTCTCTCTCCACTTCCTTTAGTAGATAACTAGGCTTTGTACGTGCTTCAGTCTCTGTGTCTGGGGGATGTCTTGGTCTCACCAGCATCAGAGCTCCCCAAAGAGAAAGGACCCTATTTCTTCCATTAGTCTGGGGGTTCCCTGAGAGATAGCTGGGGCTCCCTGAGGGCAGCATCTGCTTTCTCTGCTGCTCCAGAAGCTGGTGGTGGAAGGGCTGAGTGAGGGACTCTCCTCTCCGCCCACCCCCACCCACAGACCACCGGCTCCAGGGTGCTGCCCATGGATGACAAGCCGGGATCTGCCTTCCTGGGTTCTTGCATCAGAGCTGGACCAGGCATGTGGCTGGGCTGTCTTGGTAGCCGGCAGCCTTTTTTTTGTTTTGGCTGTGTTGGGTCTTCGTTGCTGCGCACGGGCTTTCTCTAGTTGCGGCGAGTGGGGGCTACGCTTCGTTGCGGTGCGCGGGCTTCTCATTGCAGTGGCTTCTCTCATGGCGGAGCACGGGCTCTAGGCGCACAGGCTTCAGTAATTGTAGCACGTGGGCTCAGTCGTTGTGTCTCACAGGCTCTAGAGCACAGGCTCAGTAGTTGTGGCGCACAGGCTTAGCTGCTCCATGGCATGTGGGATCTTCCCGGACCAGGGCTCAAACCCGTGTCTCCTGCATTGGCAGGCGGATTCTTACCCACTGCTCCACCAGGGAAGCAGCTTTGTTCCTGGCTCCAGCACATCCCGATGGGAGAGGTTGGTCTTGACATAACATGTCCCCCTTTCCTCTGTACCAGGCAGAAGGGCCAGAAGCAGGCAACAAAAACGAGGCCATCCAGCTGCCTTGCCAGGGCCCACGTGGCGTCTCGGAACACTGGTCCTATGATCACTGGTCTCCGGCAGAGATAAGGATGGGGCTGAAACCACTTATGCCACCCCTTCCTGCCTGCCCAGAGGACAAGCACAACCCAGAGGCCAGGGTGCTGATGGTAGGGCTTAGGGGTTCAGTAACTGTTGTCCTAGCAGGAGCTTCTCTGAGTCTGTGGTGGCCCCACTTTGCCCAGTCTCCTGGGATGGGCTGAGCCAAAGTTACTGCGTTGGACACCCCCCTCACACCAAGTTCTGACTCAGAGACCCCAGCTGGCTCGGGTGAAGAGGTCTCTCCCTGGGGAGTAGAGCTGGTGACGCACCTGTCTGCCACCTCCCCACCCCGCCCCCCCATCTTCTGCCCCACTTGTCCTCCCTCTCCTTTCCCTCCTGTCCTAGCTCCAGAGGGAAAGAAATTTGAGCCAGAGGGGAGCCATAATGATAACTGGTGGGACGTTTATTATCCAGGGCTCCAGGACCCCTCCTGATCTGGGCTCCAAGCAGATCCTTTCCCATCCTGAACTTACCTCTGAGCATTGGGGTTAGGGGTGACGGTAGGGGAACCCACTCTCTGCAGACCTTAAAGATGTTATCTCCGCTGCTCAGGATGACAGGGAGTTGAATGAGCCTCCAGGAATGGGCATCAACGATAGGGACATGGTGCCACACCCGACCCCCACCCTCCCACCCCCACGGGTCTCCACAATCTATTTCCCAGAACCTAGGGAGATGAGTCCCAGCCTGATTCCAGAAGGGGGTGGGTGAGCAGAGTGGGACAGATCCTGAGAGTGGTAGGGGAGGGAGTGATGGAGGGTTTGATAGGGATGGGGCCAGGATTCTAAGGCCCAGGCCAGGATGTGGCTGGGTGGACGGTCAAAGGTACAGCCTGAAACTTCCCACATCCAAGTTCTTTCCTCCATCCCTGAGCACCTCTGGAAATGAAGAGGGAGGCCCGTGTCTCCTGAGAAGAGAAGATGGGGGGCTGGGGGCTTCCCTGGTGGCACAGTGGTTGAGAGTCCGCCTGCCGATGCAGGGGACACGGGTGCGTGCCCCGGTCCGGGAAGATCGCACGTGCCGCGCAGCCCGGGAGCCATGGCCGCTGAGCCTGCGTGTCCGGAGCCTGTGCTCCGCAAACGGGAGAGGACACAACAGGGAGAGGCCCGCGTTCCCCCAAAAAAAAAAAAAAAAAAAAAAAAAAAGAAGATAGGGGGCTGTCCCATGTTCTTCTGAGATGAGCCAAGTTGGGGTTTCCTGGGTGAGGTGAGGAAGCTCAGCGTTGGCGTGGTGGGAAGAGCCTCAGCGATGGAGAGAGGAGCGGGCAGGGCTGGAAAGGAGACAGGGAAGTCAGGATGGGTCAGAGGGACGAGGGGAGGTGACGGATTCCTCTTTGCCACTCCTTGAGTGGCCCCCTAGTCTGCCCCAGGCTCTGCCATAAGTTGGGTGGACTCCTGGTTCAGTGGTTCTTATCTTCAGTTTCTACTGCGGGTTCCGAGAGCTTTCCCAAAGTGGCTGTTTCCTCCACGGAAGCCACATGATGAATCACCCTCACAGGGGCAAGGGACAGGGAGTGTTGGCCCCTTTGGGTCCCTTGAAAAGCCTGTTTGGTGATAGGGATGTCTCATATGGCCCCCTCCTTCAGCCAACCTGGTCTCTGCCCTCCCTCTCTGCCCAGGAATTCTTTTACTAACTTTGGTCACATCTAGTTTCTCCCTACCCCCCTGCTCAGACTCCCGCTGAGAGAAGGGACAGACTGCTAAGAGAGTACCGGCTCCCTCTTCCTTTGCTTCCTGTGCACCCAGAGCAGGCTGGAGACTGATGCCTGGGCTTTGGCCTCCTTCCCTCCTCCCTTGTTGTCCTCCCTCCATGTCCCCTTCCATTCCCCATTCTTCTTCCATTCCATCATCATTAATTCATTAATGCATAGGCCCTGGCATGCCTGGCAGACAGGCTCTGGTGTCAGGAGCTGGGAGGTAGCATGGGAGAAAGGAGCTGGCACCCAGCCCAGTGGGATCACGCGCACCAAAGGGGTGGTGGAGGTAGCAGAGAAGATCTCAACACCCTCCCACCCCTCACTGCGGGGCCACATGTGTTCAACAAACTGAATGATAAGAAAGAGATCGGGGCATTAATAAAGGGGCTTTATTGAATTGTCCAGTGATGTTCTGGGGATGGGAAACCTCCCCACCTCCCTTCCAGCTCTCTAGTGACCCATCCCCAGCTCCCAAGGGAAAGGGTTCAGGAAGCCCTTCTGGGTAAAAAGGAGAGAGCAGAGAGACAGGGAATCTCTGGAAAAGGAAGCAGGGAACCCTAAGCCAGGGGGTCACAATGGAAGGTACAGGGAGAAGAGCCTGGGGCCGTGAGAGAGGCAAGAAGCATGGGGCAGGGGGTGGGGAGGGGAGCTTTCCGGCAGAGGCGGCGGGACAAGAGAGGAAGAGCCCACGGGGTCCTTTCTGACCTCACTGCCAGCTTGGTCCCACCATCGCCTTGCCCCGCTATGCGCTCTCTCCTCCAGGCCCCAGATATGTCTTGCCGCTGCCCAGACATTCCAAGTTGTTTTACATCTTCTTTGTCTTGGTCCACCATCTTTCAGCTGGGGGCCTCCCTCTTCTGCCCAAAGCCCCCCTCATTCTTGCAGAGTCAGTTCAAACATCCATACAGCGCAGCCTTTGAGATCACCTCCGCCACGCTCTCAAGCTGCCTGCTCCTACCTCCAAGTTGGCACACGTGACCATCTACCATCATCCTCTGTTCTGTGGTCCCCCCATCACTGCAGACTCAGAAGCTCTGGGTCTCTGAGTCTAGCACAATCCAGACCCAGAGGCAGCATCAAAACTCCCAGGCACCAAAGATGGTGCTGGTGGAGTGAGAGAGATCAGGTGTTTCGGGAGACAGAGGAGGAAGGAGGTGGAATTGGGGGGTGGGAAGGGGCTGCAGAGGAGGCAGAAGGGGTGGGAGGAGAGGAGAGGGCATAGGAGCAGGGGTGTGGGGTGCAGGGCCGGAAGAGTAGCCCTGGTCATCAGACCACTGTGCTGAGGGTAGAGGAGTCCTCAGAGGGCACAGGCAGCGCGGGGGCCCGCTTGAGGGGACGTCGGGTCCCATCCCGGTTCTGCCACACGTACTGGGCCAGATAAGCCACCACCAGCACCAGCCAGCCCCCCATGGTGACCAGCAGGGCCACGTCGGTGCTGTGCCGGGCCCCGCCCCGCCCCGTCCCACACAGCTCTTCCTCCCCAACCAGCGGCAGGAACTCCTGCCCCACGAGGTCTGATCGGGATCCTGGGCCACAGACGATGCCCGTCCCAGTGCCCGGTGCCAGCCTCACCCGCTGAAGCACCTCCTGGAGGGCACAGTCGCAGCGCCACGGGTTGGCAGACAGGTTCACTTGGATCTGCAGCCCCACAAAGGCCTCCACGGGCACCGAGGCCAGCTGGTTGGCAGAGAGGTCGAGGTGGCGCAGCGTGCCCGCCAGGCCCTGGAAAGCGGCCCCTGAGAGGTGGGCAAGGACATTATGGGATAGATCCAGCTCCTCCAGGACAGGCAGGTGCTGGAAGGCCCCAGCCGGCACGGACGCCAGCCGGTTGGCATCCAGGTAGAGCTTGCGGGTGTCGTTAGGGATGCCGGTGGGCACAGCCCTCAGGCCTGCCTGGCTGCAGCGGAATGTCCGCTCCCCAGCTTCTTCTGCCACGTAGCAGCCCTGGGGAGCCAGCCGGGGGCTGGGCACAGTACCCCCCGTGCCTATCACCAGCAGCAGGGACAGGAGGTGACCAGCTGGTGGGAGCATGGCCACAGATTGGCATAGTCCTGGAGTGGAGTAGGATCTGGGTAAGAAAAAGCCCCATAAATGAAGAATGAGCCCAGAGAATTCCATTCCCACGGCCAGCATTCTCTTCCTGAAGTCCCCCTGTGGATTCCTTTTGGGCCGGGGCCTCTCCTTTGGGAGCTCTCTCAGGCCTGGGTGGCTTTTTTGCTTCTTTGGGGTCCAAGACTCCTTATTGGGCCCTTTGGGTAGAGGGTCCCCTGGGCCTGAGACTCTTCTGGGGTCTCTTTGATTCTGGAAGGCTAATCTATGAAGTCTCTTGGTCCAAAGCCCTATTGGTCATTCTGGGTCTGGGGGCTTCTCAGTGTCTGCTTCTGCTCATGTACTGATTTCCTTCATTGGAATACAGGCTTTTCCTGCCAGCCTACCTGGATGGCTGCCAGGTGGGCCAGGTAGGCACCAGAGGGCCCAATCAGCAACAGGGCTTTGCAGCATCCAGCTAGGCTAGGTGATTCAGGCCCCAGCTTCTGTACCCGTTCACCCTTTCTCCTGGAACGTCCGCCCCTCTGCCCATCCCGGCTTTGTCCTCTCCGCCCCACTCTTCCTCCCTGTCCTCTCCTTCCTCCTCCCAGCCTCTCACCCCTGTTGGTGGGAGAGCCTTCTCCTGCGCTGCCGTCTCCCCGGAAGTAGCCTCCCTGTTGCTCGGCTCTGGAGACCCGCTTCCTCCTCCAGAAGCCTTGCTCGCTCGCTTGTAGCTGCTGGAAGTTGGGGGTTGGGGCCCAAGAGTGTTGGGTTTCCTGGCATGTGACTCCAGGCCCCAGGTGTCAGATACCTGAGCCATGGTCTGGCCAGGCGATGCCAAGAGAGGGCAGATCCCGGACCCTGATGAGCTCTGCCTTGGGAAGACTGGGCCCCAATTCCATTCCCTGCCTCAGGCTCCCCTTCCAAGGCCTTGACATGCTATCCTCCATCCTTCCTCTCCCAGCCGGGGCTGAAACTCTGCCTCTTAGAACCTCTGCCCTCTGCCCAGAGCCTGGTTGAGCAGAAGGATCCCTGCTTGGAAGGCCTGGGGGGCAGAACTGGGGTGGGCCCCCTCTCACATCCACTGTCTCCTGAACTCATCTCCCTTCAGCTCCATACCTCCCTTCTGCCCTCCTACAGTGCACCTTCTTCCGTGGTGAACAAACTTTCCTCAGCCTTTTCCTTGGAAAACTTGTCTCTCTCTCTGCAGAGGACCTCATCTTCTGGCTCCTCGCATGGTACCTGACCTCCTTGCCTGGCAGGAGGCACTGCGTTAATTCTCTGCACTGTTGGTAGACGGCTCCTCAAGGAGTTGGAAGGGGTTCTTCAAGGTTTCCGAAGTCCAGTACGGTCATCTACAAGTTTTCACGCTGATTTTCTGTTCTGGATTGGAGCTGACTCGGATTCTCTTAGTTTGCTGGGGTCTTGAGCTCCCAAGTTGGTAGTGTTAACTCTCCTTCAGGCCCGGGAGCCAAGGAGGGCTTGTACGACTTATTCCCCAGGGCCTTTTGATCCCTACCATCATGTGCAGCCATGCCACCCCGTCACACCACCCTTTTTTAATGTAAGGGAAGGGAACAGAAGACTGGGTGTCACAGAGATTTGCACAAAGGAGACTGAGGTCATACGCTGTGGAGACCTTTCTGAGAAGGAAAACCTTGCTGGATTTTGTAAGAGACTATGGGTGACCAGGATCAGACAACAGAAGTGACGGCCCAGTGCAAAATGAAAATGTGGGGCTCCTTTGTTCAAAACTGTTAAGAATTTCAAGACGGCAACAACAGCACGTCGTAAAACCAGGTGCAGGGCCCTTCTGAATGCAGGGCGTGAGGCCCTGTGGGACTGCACAGGTTGCAGGCCGCTGAAGCTGGCCCTGTAGGTGACCTTTGAATGAGCAATTTCAGACGCGTGATGGAAGCCAGAATCAGAGGGTAGGATACTGGATGATGTTACCTGTGGGCATGTATTTACCACTGACTCATTCTGGTGACATCAACAGGGTCATTTCTCAGACTCCCATTTGTCCAAGGAATCAGATAAGACACACTTTTTACACCTGGGCAGGAGAAGTGAACATTGTGTCTGTGGTTGCTTGTTAGTTAGGCCAGGCACTCTGCCACTGAATACTTGGGAGTCCATTTTGGGATTGGGCCTGAATGCAGAAGAGGAAGCACATGGAAGCCTACCCCTCCCACTGCTCTCGCGTCACACTGGGCAGGGACTTTAACTAAGGCACAAGAGGTGAGTTATCTCCTTCTCCGACTAGGCCAGCTACCAGGAAAGAGTGGGACTGGGGTTTCCAGCACAGCAGCTGCTGGAGAGGTAGGAAGTCTGCTCACCTAGGAGGGTCCAGCTGGCTCATGGACGTGATCCACGTGAGGGTGGTTAAGTGCAGTGCTCAGTAGAGAAGGGAGAACAGAGAGGAGGGAGGAACCACACTCAGGACGGTGCACAGTGCAGACTGGGGGTTGACAAGGTTGGAGCAGAAGTTCTTCCCTGCCATTCATTCATTCATCCATCCGTTCAGTGAGGGTTTCCTGCGAGCCCCATGTTATAAGTAGTACTGTGCTCAAGATTCAGCCCCTGTTCTGAGGGTCTCAGATGGCTGTGGTTAACCCAGTGGTTCACCCAGTCAGCACATTAGAATCACTTGGGGGAGCTTCTAAAATTAGTTATGCTTGGGTTTACCTGGACCAATTTAGTTAAAATCTCTGTGGATGGGGTCTAGGCCCTGGTGTATTTTAAAAAGCTCCCCAGGTATTTCTAACGTGCAGCCTGAGTTAAGAACTGCCGGTCTAGACAAGTACTGGTGGCGGGGACGCTAATAGCATCTGCCTGGCCCCCTCCATCATGTCCAAGGTTGAGGAGGCCAAGAAGCTGGCAGGCCGTGCAGCGGTGGAGAACCACGTGAGGAATAACCAAGTGCTGGGGATTGGGAGTGGTTTTACAGTTGTCCACGCTGTGCAGCAAATAGCTGAAAGGGTGAAACAAGAGAATCTGAACCCCGTCTGTATTCCCACTTCCTTCCAGGCCCGTCAGCTCATCCTGCAGTATGGCTGAACTCTCGGTGACCTGGACCGACACCCAGAGACTGACCTCACCATCGATGGTGCTGATGAGGTAGATGTTGATCTCAATCTCATCAAGGGCAGTAGAGGCTGCCTGACTCAGGAGAAAATTGTGGCTGGCAATGCCAGTTGCTTCACTGTGATCACCAATTTCAGGAAAGATTCAAAGAACCTCAGGGAATCAGTGGCACAAGGGGAACCCCCATCAAGGTCATCCCGATGGCCTGTGTCCTAGTGAGCCGAGCTGTGACCTAGAAGTTTGGGGGTGTGATTGAACTTCAAATGGCCATCAACAAGGCAGATCCCTTGGTGATGGATACAGTGAGTCCCCTGTTATCCATATGAACAGAACTCATATGAATGAGTTCCGTTCTGAGAACGCATTCATGTGTCCAATTTGTTCATAAGTCCAACAAAGTTAGCCTAGGTACCAATGAACACAATTGGCTATATAGTACTGTACTGTAATAGGCTTATAATACTTTCATACAAATAATACATAAAAAACAAACACAAAAATTAAAGAAAACATTTTTAATCTTACAGTACAGTACCTTGAAAAGTACAGTAGTACAGTACAACAGCTGGCACACAGGGGCTGTATCGAGTGAACAGGCAAGAAGAGTTACTGACTGGAGGAGGGAGAGGAGGTGCGAGATGGTAGAGCTGAAGGATCGTCAACAATAGGAGACGGAGGGCAGGCTGCAATTTCACTCATGCCTGATGTCGATGGCACATGTTCTGATTCCTTGCCGGATTCAATTCTATCTACCCTCTTGAAAAAATGATCCAGGGGTGTCTGGGTAGTAGCTCTTTTTTTCTCATCATAGATGACATGGTAGCATTGGATTGCATCCTGAACGGCAGCTGCAACCTTCGTGAACCTTTCTACGTTCGGGTCCTGTGCTTCAAAACTAACAGTGCCTCCTCAGATAAAAAAAATCCCCTTGCCATTTCTTGCATCCTGAATCTCTTTGGTTCTTCACTTACTTCTTCCTCTTGTCTCTCTTTGTCCTTTCTCTAGGCCTCCAATTCCACCAGGTCTTCATTAGTAAGCTCCTCATGTTGCACAGCAACAGCACTGTACAGTAAAGTACATAAAAGCACAACAACTTGCAGAGGATGCCCGCATGTGACAATGTACGCCAGACACATGAACTAACTTGCGTGATTGGACATGTGAACGCACTTTCGCATCTTTGAAAGTTCGCAACTTGAAGGTTCGTATGTAGGGGACTTACTGTAATGGGAATTTTATCCTGGACTGGAAGTTTGACGGGGTCCACAAATGGAGTGAAGGGAACACAGCTATCAAAATGATCCCAGGTGTGGTGGACACGGGCCTGTTCATCAGCATGGCGGAGAGAGTCTACTTTGGGATGCAGGACGGCTCGGTGAACATGAGGGAGAAGCCTTTCTAAAGTGGCCCTGCAGGAGCGGAGTGTGTTCCCCTCACGTCCCCAGCCCACCGCCGCGGCGGACATGCCTCTCCAGGAGCCTTTGCCTTTAAGTATCTGTGCCATGTAGACAGCTTGTCAGGGTGGGGGGGTTGAAGGTTAAATCCTGTCCTCTGACTTATTGTTATTAAATGTCTTTTTTAAAAAGAGAAATACAAACAAACACATATATTTTTGCTGTTAAAAATACTCAGTTTTTTTTATAAAGTAGAACTTGATTTCATGTTGTATATGAACCATTTACCAAAAGAAAGGAGGACTGTCTTTTAAACTTTTAACTTGAGGCTGCTGGTTAAGCTTCTGAATGTTGGGTTTGCTGAGAGATATAAATCAAACTTCTCTTTAAACTGGTGAAACGAAGGGCACAGCCAGCAGTGATTCCCTGATGCCTTACTGGAAACACTGGATTTGTTTACTTTTCTGCCACACTGTTTTGTTTTCAGTTTTTGTTGCATTACGCACAACATGTAGTTACATGTTTTAAGATGTGAATTACAAAAGTCTGGTGAGTGTAGTGGCGTGGCACTCGTGACGCAGAGTGTGTAAACTATCGAGGGAAAATGTGGGAGCTCTTTTGCTGAGATGAGGGGGTTCGTTCAGACCCCGCTTGTTGGAAGCCATTGGCCAGAAATACTTGCCACTGCTGCCAACCTACTGCTGTGAGCAACCTTTCAAAGACTGTTTTTGTTGTTAATATTTTTTTCGTTCCCTTATTACTCAGCCATAGAAAGGAGCAAAGTTGGGTCATTTGTAGTGATGTGGATGAATCTAGAGTCTGTCATACAGAGTGCAGTAAGTCAGAAAGAGAAAAACAAATATCGTATATTAATGCATATACGTGGAACCTAGGAGACATGGATAGATCTAGAGTCTGTCATACAGAGTGCAGTAAGTCAGAAAGAGAAAAACAAATATCGTATATTAATGCATATACGTGGAACCTAGAAAAATGGTACCGATGAACCTATTTGCGGGGCAGGAAAAAAGATGCAGATGTAGAGAACGGACTTGTGGACACAGGGGGTGATGGTGAGGGTGGGATGGTGGGAGGTCCAAGAGGGAGGGGATATATATATACATATAGCTGATTCACTTTGTTCTACAGCAGAAACTAACACAACATTGTAAAGCAATTCTACTCCGATAAAAAAATAAAATAAAATATTTTTTTGTTCCTTTACTGTTAGTTGCATGGCGTCAGAAGTTGTTACCTCTTTATGTTGTTTGAGGGCTGAAATAAAACAGTGTGGTGCCATTTTGAAATAAAAAAAGAAAAAAGAACTGCCAGTCTAGAGGGAGACATGGACGTGTGGACACACGTCTGCACAGTGCCTTTAATGTGATGTCTGCCAGAACCAATGTGTGAAGCCCAGAGCTGTGAAGCCCAGAGAGAGGTTAAAGTCACTGTGGCAGAATCTGCTGGTGTTGTCGGGGGAGGGCGCGGGGGGCGACATTTTAACCTCTACCCAATTAGGGCTTTTCAGGTGGGCCTGGGAATTAAAGTACCATAAAACAGATGAACAGTAGAAAAGCGTACACATTTATATGTCTTGGAAGGGGAGGGATAAATTGGGGATTTGGGATGAACAGATACACATTACTATATACAAAAAAGATAAACAACAAGGTCTTACTGTAAAGTCCTACTGTATGTGTAACTGATTCACTTTGCTGTGCACCTGAAACACCGTAAATCGACTTGACTTCAATGGGACTTCCCTGGCGGTCCAGTGGTTAGGACTCTGCGTTTCCACTGCAGGGGGCCCGGGTTCCATCCCTGCTGGGGGAACTAAGATCCTGCAAGGGGTGTGGCGCGGCCATAAGAAAAAAAAAAAAATCAACTATACTTCAATTAAAACATTTTTAAAAAAATTTATAAAAAAAAAAATTTTTATGTTAATGACACGGGAGCCCTCATAAAGAAATGAAGACCTAGGAAGTGGTAAAACATTAATACTTTTATACTAGGTTGAATAAAAAGCAGTGATTGAAGCAAAGTGACTAAAATATACGGGGAGTTTAAAGGAAGGGAAAAACTATTTTAACAAGGCCTGTTTGTACAGAATTCTCTTGGCTTTGATTCTCCGTTGAAGAACGTTTCTTTTCTCCCCATACAGGGAGGGCATCTTTCACATGGGGGTTTGGTCTCCTG